ATATCGTTTCCTTTTAGTTGTATGCTTGTGTGTCTGTTTCTATATAACTATTTATTTTGGTTAGATGAAATCGGTTAGAATGTTTAACTTTGTGCTTTTGTAGGAATAAGGCTAAGCTGTGTTGAGATCTGCTAAATGGCATAACGAACGAACTGTTGGCCAGTTTTACCTCAGACCGAATGTGATCAGACCGAATGTGATAAACTTGCTCACCAGAATGTAGAAGTATAATCAAACGAGTTCAAAACTAACTAAGGGAATCCGCTTGGCCGAACCTCATCACACACACACACACGCACACACACACACACACACACGATAACAAGAAGACAATCTCCTCGACAGACTGGCATTAAACTGGAAAACGTGGTAGCACTCGACTCACCGAAAAGTCCAGATCCTCGAGGAAGTGGTCCTTGTTGAGTCGATGCTCTCTCGGCTCTGACGACGCCTCCAAGAACACGTCGAAGTCTTCGTGACATGCTCGACGCGTGGCGCCCTCTTCTCGTGCGTCCGTCGCAAGGGCCGAGCTGTGCCGCAGTCGCGGGCATCGGCGCATGCTGAAGTGCACCTCGACGTGGAGGCTGAGCGCGTCGGCCTGCCGGAACGGCGGACTCACGAGCCAATAGCTCGAGTCCGCGCGGGACAAGCCGGACTCGGACGCCAGACGAGCCAGGCCGACGCCGCTCGACGCCGGCGGCTGCGGCTGCGGCTGCGGCTGCGGCTGCGGCGACGGCTGAAGTGGAGGCCGCAGCGGCCGCGGCCGAGTCCGTGTCGCGGGGCCGGACAAGGTGGGGGACTCGAGCCGGGGGCCTCGAGTTGCCGGCCGCAGCGCGGGAAGCCAGAAGGTCGGCTCCGCGCTCCACGTGGCAGCGCCTCCGGCCTCGGTGCCACTCGCGGCGGAGCTGGCCGCCTCGCAGAGCCCGTAAACCGGTTGCCCGGAGCCGGCCAGACTCTGCTGGCGCCACTGGAGCAGGATAGGGTTTCGGACAGGTTGGGCGAAAATAGCAGAAAAACACATGCCGAAGAGACGACGAAAGTTGGTCAGTCTAGAAGTTGGTTGACCTCGTTTTCGCAACATGGTCGTGTTGCCATAGCGACGTAGTTGGACGTACCGTGGCCGAAGTACGCTGCTTTCGTAGATATCATCATTCTCAGCGCATTCACAGACATTTTGCGTGTGGACGAGATTGGTAGATTGACCGCACTGGATACCGAAAGTGGGTTGCCGTGGGCTTTGTCTGTCGACTTGTGCGAGCCCGATGGCTCCGTGATGAGCTTTCGCTCGAGAAAAGTTTTGTCTTTTTTCAGTGCATGTTCATGAATTACGGTTTCTGGCTTTGAAGATGTCCGCCACATGATGGACGCAAGCTCTGCACGGAGTCATCAGGTGCGCAAGATGGTGATTCGGGGTCTGTTTCACACGATTCAACAGACAAAATCCCGGTCTCGAACCAAATGAAATGTACGTCAGAATCAAGCACTGACGATGCCGGCAAAAGTTCTGCGAGCACACCGAGTTCTCGCTCCAAAGTGGAGAATTATGACAACTACGTCCAACTAAGTCGCCCTGACAACACGACCATGTTGCGAAAAA